TTCAACTTCACATTGTTGCATTGACCACATGACCAGGTGGAAATGTAGGAACAACCCTTTTTTTAGTGTAGTTAAAACACCATTTGAACATGATGCTGAGGTGTATGTGTGAAGAAATGTATATGAATCTGATGTGTATGTGAGTTTCAGTGTTGTGGTGCACTCAGCCTGATGGATTTTTAAATATATTGAGCAGGAGGTTGTTGTTGTGGAATTAATTGACTACTTGGGTTCACTATTGTTGGATATGAGATCTGTTGTGGTGTCATCAGTGTGACACATGCAACTGTTTGTGTATAGGGAGATGAAAGGTTGTTCACCTCAACCCACTCCTGTCTCCTGTCTGTTCAGGTCAAGAGAGAAGCTCATAAACACATTATGTTAACTTGTTCCCCTGTGCATACACTCAGTTTTTCAATTCAGTTCAGTTCAGCTTTATTGGCATGAATGTCAAACAACAATATTGCCAAAGCTCTAAAACATAATTAACAAAAGAACAATTCATTTCATACAGTTCATGGGTTCCTTTTTCCAAGGAACAATTACTAAATTACTAAAATAACAAACAATGTAAATAATAATAAAAAAAAATTTACAGTACAATTATTTAATTTATTTAAACACACACACACACACACACACACACACACAGACCTGGCGGTAGGATGAAGTGACTAAGGGGGCAAATCTTTTTTTATTGTGAAACGGTAGGTTATCATTTATCATCCACATGCTATGCCAATTTTTGCATTTGTTTTGGCGCTGTAGATATAGGTGAAATTTTTATGCATTTGTGCTTCATGGCCATAATATGAAATAGGAATATTTGCGACAGATTGCAAATGGCCTATACATTTTCTCTCCGACATACCAAACCAATAAAAGAAAAATAAACCAACTACATTCTCTTACCTTTCCTCAGTAGAGTTGCAGCCTCCATGTTTGTTGAACTTCCTCAATAAGAGATCCTTCCAGTCTTCTTCCGTAAATTGTTTTGTAAGATCCCGTTCGAACGGCAGCTGGATCATTTTCTCTGGTGTGTCATGCTTCGTCTGTGCTGACTGAAGACGTTGGTTAGCGTTGAAAATGTGTTCTTACATGTCGATGAGGATGCCCAAAGGCCACTCCATGTTTCAGTGCAGTAAGCACGCTTGGCATGGCAGTGCGAGGCCCAGAGTAGCGGTGCAGAATGGCAGCAATGATCCATTGCTTTTTGGTAAAGCGAGCCATTTCAGAGTGTAAAAAGTGTCGAGTTACAGAAACGTAAGATTCCACCAAAGCTGTGTTGGTGAACTCCAGCAGCGGTTTTACCTTCTGTTCACAACCTTTACTCCAGTGTAGAGGTCTGTTTTTCTATCCTGTAACACTCTGTTTGGAGGATCAAGGAGGGCAAGGATTCTGTGGACCATAACCGCAGTAAACGAAAAAAAAAAAGTGGGTGTCACTGATTGCTTTTAGGAGCCCTGCTGCCTCTATTTTCAGTTCTGTGAGCTGAAGGCCAATGCTGTCAATCTCCGCAAGGAACTGCAGAATAGCTTCATTCCTGTTAACAATGACTGACACGGTAGCCAAGTGACCGGTCCACCTTCGATCCAGCAGCCTTTTCAGACGTTCTCCTCTGTAAACTGCAGCCACAGTTGGCTTTTTCAGAAACCGGTAAAGCATGTCACACACATCAAAAAAAAGCCTGTAGTGCATTCTCTGATGACATGGCGTGGATAACCACCAGATGTTGTTGATGGTTGAAACAATGCACAGACGGGACTTCTCGTTCAACTTTCTCTTGTAGTATTTTCTGTACACCCCGTCTTTTCCCTGACATCACGCTTGCACCATCATAGCATTGGCTGAGGATTTTTTCTAAGCCCAGGCCTGCTTTTTGCAGCTCAGAAAGGACCAGGTTTGCCAGTCCACCTTCAGCGTGTACCAGCTATCTCTTATTTCTTCAACATGGACAAAAATAGTCCCCCCCCCCCCCGGCTCTAAAGAGTCCAATATCCCCCTCAGGGGTTGCTGGTGTGACACAAGGAACTCAATGATTTCCATGATCGCACTCACATATAAGCAGTTCCTTGCCAGTTGCCCCTCATTGACTTGTGTGGAGACCTCAGCACGCATGGCACTACGAGCACAGTATTCCTTCCAGAGAGCACTGCATTTCAAATGTTCCTTGCTGGATGCATGTCTTGCAAAACCTTTTGTGCTGTTAGAGAAGCCAGTGTCTGTGAAGGCTTTGTCGGCATTAGTATTAGACCCAATACTAAACTTCCGACATGGAAAGCAAAATGCAGCATCAGCAACCGCTGAATATTCCAGCCACTCTCTTCCATTAAACCAGCTTCTGTTAAATGAGCGTTTTTTGGTATTAAATATCCGGGAGCAGTCAGAGCTGTCGGGGCTGTATGGTGTTTATTTTTTGTACCTAGCCATGTTCTGATATCCATCCTGACTGCTTTTTGGCTAAGCAAACTAGTTTACGCAATAGGGAAATATTATTGCTGCTATTTGACAAGCAAACTAGCTTTAATGTTAACTGTTTTTTTAAAATCACATTGCGTACAGTGTTCCACGAGGTTCAAATCTAATAAATACATCTCTTGACAACGCACAACAAACAGCCCTATGTAGTGGGAAAAGATGGATCAAATAACAAGCTTCAAATATTTTCTAGGAGAAAATAGTCAAGAAGGGGATTTCAGTGGGCGGCTGTTGTCTTTGACACTTATGACCAATAATTTTTTAGATATTTTTCTATAGAGTTCATAAAACTTTAACAGGGGGTGCAGAAAATACAAATGAGGGGGCAAAACCCCTCCTTGCCCCCTAGTGGCGCCGGGCCCGACACACACACAAACACACAGAGAGAGACTCGTGTGATTTCCAGTAAATGGAGAAGGGAGGAGCAACCCTGACCATGTGATTCAGTTTATAATAAAAGGGAGGACACCTTAAAAGTGTCCAGTCGGTTGTACAGACTTCTGGAGTGCATTTGGATGGTGGTACTAGGTTGGCATTAGAGACAGCACGTTTTGAGGGAAATTTAAATTGAGAGGAGGTTTCCGAATTTGTGTGATTAATCGTGATTTTGGATTGTTCAGGGTGAGTATTGTGAGGATTTGTTTGAAGGGGTATTGCCTGATGGCCTGTATAGGTCCGGGAACGATACTCCTGAACAGGTTTTTGCAAAGTCAGCTGATAGATCCGGAGTGAAATGGAAGGAGGTTGGTGAGTCTCCTGTAAAGGGAAAAACGCTTTCACTGTTCCTGGTTAAAACACTAAAAGTTCACACAGTCTGGGATTACCTAAATTCAGAGTCAGCCCATGTCCGAGGGAGCGGATTGGGAAGGGGGTGGGGAAAAATGAAACACAGTGAGCAAGAAAAAGCACAAAAGAGAGCGAGAATACAACTCTCAGGAAAGTGATATAGAAAACCCGCAGACTAAGACAATGAGGCCAAATCCAAGTAGTGATGAAGGATTCAAAGTTCTAATCAAAGTAAAAGGAGGGGCTGTATTTTCTGCAGTAAGAAAAGAGCTGGGTGATATAATGCATGCGTCTATTTTGCGGAATGGAATGATATCTATTATATGTAAGTCGGAAATGCAACAAGCATAGGCTCTCAAGATTAAAAATGTGCTTGGTAAGGGAGTGGGGGTGTTTTTAAGCCAAGAGCAAATACAGAGGTAAAAGGTGTGATGTCATTGGACGTCTCAGAACAAGAAATATTAACTAGTTTAAAAGAAGGTAATGTCATAGCTGTAAAGGGCATGGGCAGGAATGAGAATGGGAGATCCACCCCTATCCTTCTCACCTTTAAAGATTCAAGGGAATTAACCCAAAGGAAATACGGAAATTTACTTTCACTCAGGATAGTGCAGATCACAGGTCAAATGGATGTCAACAGATAGAGTTGGATGACAATGAAGGAGAAGAAATGGGCAGGAGACTATAATGGTGATTAGTGTTTTTTGTATTGTGTTTTACATAATGCAATGGAATGCTAGGAGTCTTATTGTGAACCGGCAAGAATTAAAAAATTTGATAGACGATCTTATAGAAAAACCAGAAATTATTTGCATTGAGGAAACTTGGTTAAAACTGAGACTAGATTTTATAATACCAGGGTACAAATGTGAAAGGAAAGATACATCAGGAGGAGGATGTGCAACATTTATTAAAAATGGAATTCAGTATAGAAGAATAGAAATAAAAACAGTGTTAGAGTGTGTTATTACAGAAGTTTGGACTGATCGAGGAAAAATCTCTATTATAAATTTGTATAATCCATGCATTAAGCTAGAAGAGTCATTTTCAGGAAACTGTAGATAAGACTAATGTACCGGTGATTTGGGTTGGGGATTATAATGCTCATAATGAACTGTGGGGAAATAAGAAGAGACACAGAAATGATGAATTATAGAAGATTCTGTGGACAAGAATAATCTAGTTGTGTTAAATGATGGTCGTACTACTAGGTTTAGTACACAAGTTGATCAATGTCATCTGTCATAGATATTACAATTGTATCAGCAGATTTAGCATCAATCAGTAGGTGGAAAACAATGGATCTTTATACAGTGAGAAGTGATCATGTGCCAATAATTTGTAAATTTGATAGGTGTCTAATCGAAGAGCCAGTTAATTGGCCCCTGAGGCTTAACTCAAGAATGTAATGCTGCAGTCTGAGCTAGCAATAGGGCATATAAAAACTTAAGGCAACACTTATTGGAGAACTATGCTATTGAGTATAAGAGGCTTAAAGCTAAGGCTAGACGTGTAATTAAGGAAGCAAAGAAACAAAGTTGGAGGACTTATTGTAGTAAAATAGGATCTGATACGCCTTTAAAAAAGATTTGGAATCTAGTACATAGAATGACAGGAGTTTTTAGGCAGACAGAACTCTACTTAATTTGGATAGTTGGAACAAAATGAAAAAACTGATTGAGTATCTACATACATAACGAACAGAGGAGGGCAGCAATACGCCATAGATGCGTCTAGTCTGCCGGAAATAAGAAGTGTCCAGTCAGTTCATGCATTTTGAGTGGACAGAGCAGAAGGAGAAAAACGAAGCCGAGGCAGGGTGAGTGTTAATTCAACATTTTTATTATTTTACTGTCAGTGTCTCTGAGTCAGTTTTCTCCCTGTGGACTGTAGAGGAAAGAAAGTTTAAGAGTGAACTCAACACTTTGATTCATCTGTGGACACAAAGCCGTGATTGGCTGAATGAAACCAAGATGCACAGATTTAAAGAAAAGAGAGCATGGCCTGTACCACGAAGCAAGATTTAAATACCCAGGATATCTTATCTGGCTTCACTAACCCTAACAATCTCGATCGGGATAAGCGGTCACACGAAGGTTATCAACTCGGGAAATTAGTCAACCCAAGATTTCCCAATCCAGACTAGGAGCGCGATCACATAAAAGAGGCGGTGTCTGCAGATAAACAACCGCAAACAAGGACAAGTCTACTGGCGGCAGACTGTAGCCTAATATTAGCACAGCTGCAGCCACCGGGCCGGTGTTCTGACGATCTATGCTGCCTTGTCGAAAAATGCTGCCGTTCCGCGAAACCTGGTGGAAACAAACCACGCATGCGCAGAACCGCTAAGTAGCACATCTCGATAGGTAGCATAAATATACAGAACACCAGTCTCTTACTAGCTTCCACCCCTCTGCTCTCTGGGGCGGTGAGTTTACATACAAAGGAGTAAACTGCTTTCATTAAATCAGCTTTTTACTTTAGTTTTTAGGATTACGACGTTGATTTATCTTCACTCGAGCTTCTCAGCAGCACATCCGGTTCCAGTGTGGTTAGCGTCGTTTGGCACTACTTCATATTTATATTAAAAACGGACAAAAGAAAAGAAAGCGAGGACCTGGTGAGTTCAGAAAACATGTGTATGTAACTTATTCCAGCTGTCGTTGTACTTTACTGTGACCGAGTTAGGGTGTGGGTATCTCTGGATAATCCGTAATTCGCAATTATAAAACGAAAATACCGTTTTTCTGTTTTTTGTTTCAAAACGAAAAAACAATTTAAAACGATCCGTTTATGGAGATTCATTTTATTGTTATTCTTGTGTTTATATCAAAGAGAAGGCTGCACTGCGACCAAGGAAGTTAATCACTGAGTTTGAAGGGTGTGCAGAACTTCACCTGCCTCCCAGCTTCTTTCTGTGCTGCTATAGCTGCTAAAAACTCTCAGCTTCCACCATCTACTGCTATGTGTCAAAACAAAACTCTGTGGTGGTATTGTGTGGTGTTTTGTGTGTCACTTTTATTTTACTTTACGAACAGTACAGAGCACGGCCTTTCCCTGGTGGTTCATCGAACAGAGTTAAACCCAAAACAGCATGAAAAGATCTGAAAGCCCCAGAGCTAGAGGTCAGGCTACATTACAGGCTGCATTAAAATATTTACTCTATTTAACATACATAAGTATTTTACACTGGCAAAAATTGCAAAGGAAAATAAAAAGTTTACAACTCCACAGATTTGTTTTGGAAGAATTTTGTTGTGACACATAACAGTAGATGGTGGAAGCTGAGAGTTTTAGCAGCTATAGCAGCACAGAAAGCAGCTGGGAGGCAGGTGAAGTTCTGCACACCCTTCAAACTCAGTGATTTCCGAAGCTTTGTATGAGGAGAAGCCTGCATAAACCCTGCCATAGACTGTATATAAAAAGGTTAGTCCACAAAAATTTGTGGTTTGGTGGTTTGTGTGAACAAGGTGGCCTGGGGTCGATCAAATTCACGGCCTGAACTCTTGTGCCAGTCCACCCTTTGCGAAGTGAGCGTTCGGGGTGGTGAGTTTACTAGTGACTTACTTGCTAACTTATTCACAGTATAGTACAACGATAGCTTACAGACACATTTTTTGTGAACCCACCAGGTAGTTCAACTTCCTCGCTTTCTTTTCTTCAAGCAATGTTCAGTTTTGTTCGGTTTTTATATAAATATGAAGTAGGCCTAGTAGTCCCAAGGAGCTTTGGGTGCCCACCGAAGCTAACAACAACAGTGGAACCCGAAATGCACAGAAGCTCGCTGCTGAGAAACTAGTGAAGACAGTGTAATCCCAAAAACTAAACAGTTAAAAGACAGACATAGCATGTAAAACCACGAAAAGCAAGCCAAACCAAGATTCTTGTTCTAATCTAGGCCATATATCGATCTCCTCTGCTCTGTTTCAGCACTGTGGACAGCGCTACGCCCAAGTCTACAAGGCTCTGGCAGCCTACTTCAATCAGTCTCTGTAGGATGATCACTATACTAACGTTCTTGCATCTCCACAGCAAACAGAAATGCAACCTATAAAATAGTCTGTGGTATTTGCTATGGATTGTGATGTGATTGTCCACAAGAGTTGATTGGTCAGTAGGCTTTTATAGATGTGATCTCTTAACTGGAACATAACCTGCTCCGGAGCAGGTTAGCCCCTCTGCGTTGTTACAATGGCGATACAATTACAGTAGTACTTGAACCCAGGGTTAACCTTGAAGTTATCTGGATAAGCTCAAATCCTGCTTCGTGGTGCAGGCACCTGTTCTCTCAGTCTTGATTGTGATTCTTTAACAAACTTGTTCTTGATTCTTGTGTGCTGAGCTCACAGTCAGTGTTACTGTTTGACCTCTCAGACTGACTGAAGTCCAGATGATGAGTCTGTGCGCGAGGAGAGAGGAGGACAGAGCAGAGTCTGCAGTACCCAGCTGTCTGTCTATAAAAAGTGACTTCTCTAAAGATGAACCTCCATTCTTCAGAAATGAACCTGGACCCTCAGACACAAAGTAAGAGAACTGCTATTAACTTATTTACATGACTCATTTTCACTTACCTCTGCTGATACCATAATTTTTTGCTTGTATATTACATTTTCTACCAAAATGTATTTGCTAAATAAAATTCAACAGACCTTTTGTGAAACAAAGAAAAATCATTAGTGCTATCTCCCTTTTTAGTATCTGTGACAGCTGACAGTCACCTAGAGAAGCTGTAATCTGATCTAAGAGGACTGATAGAAACTTTAAACAGACAGTAGAAGCAATTTGTGTGTTTAGAGCTTCCTAAATGGCTTTCATCATGACATTGAAGATGAAGACAAAATGCTTAAAGGTTTATGTTCATGCTGCAGAACTATTAGTGCAGATACTGTTTATTATTTTTCTTTAGCAAAACAGTCGAGAACCTCCAATTCAGAATTTATTCTAAGACAATATCTATAATATCTGAAAGATATGTATATGTAGAAGATGATTCATTTTTAAATTTTAGTTGTTTTTCTCTTCCTCAGATAAGCTGTAATGATCCAACCATTGCATAACCCTTCAAGTCTGTGAGTGTGGAGATTAGGATTCAGCTTCTTTCTTTTCTCTGGACTCCACCACTCAGAAAGCAGCAGGTGGATTGTAGTGGCGCAACGGATCGTAGTTGATCCATGATCTTTACGGATCCACCCCCATGGTTTCGCACACATGTGAACAGCAGAATGATTACAAATTCTGCATTCATGTGCCCCTCGAATGGTCCCATTTCATTTCATTTCAAGTCATTCTTCAGACTTCGGTGTGTTCATGTGCTCGGAATGTCGAAATAACATGGATGCTATAAAGATGTGTTGGATTAGCATTATTGTTGTCCTCCAACTATGCTGAAACAGTTTGAAGATTTCTATTACAAAGTAAAATCTTTTGTCCCAGAGGTTTTACTGCACCAGAACATTACCTGAAACCACTAAAATATTCCGTGTATACAAATACTGCTAATAATAAAAACTGTTCTAATTAATCTACTTCACTCTACATGGACAGCAAATTAACTGTTATAACCTGATACTATATTACAAATGACACCTTAGCAAATATGTAAATGCAATACGTGATTTTGCGCCATTAATCAAGCGTTTCTAATCATCAACCACGTTGTCCACCATTTCTACGTGTCTGACGTCAACAACTCGGCGACATCAGGGGACATTCGCATGAATTTTCCCAGTCCAGAAATAATTTTTCCGATTATTCCGACACCACAATAATGCTGTGTTCCAGACTGCTCTGAACTGGGAAATTTCCAAGTTGAAATATCTGCCCTCTGACCTCAAAGCGTTCCAGGTGCATGGTAGTGCATGACGCCAAAAGTGAACGAAAAACATGGCTGACTGTGACAATCTCTTTGTTAAGTGTGCACAGTTGCACCCTCAGCAGTGCCTTGGTGTTAATGAAAAGGATGGCCACTAATGTTTTAAAGTGTTTCGAAAACCGCAGCTATGACACAAAGTCTATCAGCTATTTTCAGTGCTTGTAACTGGGCATTAGATAGCTTGGCCATGATCACCTCCATCAGCTGCGGCACAGCCATAAGAGGTGCAGCCACCACCTGTGTGAATCTGGGGTAATTAAAACGGTGAAATAGTCGAGCAATAAAACATAAACACAAACATCACAAAACCATAACATTAATCGGTCAGTAAAACCGACGCATTTATGGATGTTAAAAGGCACACAATTGTACACCTCAAATAGCTCACAGACAAAAACCTGCTTAAATCAAAGATTCTTCAACTTTTCAACGCTTCAACTAAGACCACAGAGCGTATGTCTGAGGGAAAAGCGTTCCACAGTGTCAGTGCCACCTGAAATATAACTATTGATGCCATTCAAACTCTAATTCCCTACACTAATCAGTGTCCATGTCTAATAACCAGCATTCCTGCTAAAATTACCTTCATCTGTCCAATATCTGTCCCAATACTTTTTATTAAATGCGAGTTATTGCATTTGCTACATTGTTTATCAATTCTTATTGAACTGCTTTGCACAATAGCAAACCGGTGCAAGTGGTTTTCACAAGCTGGTTGTGTCAAACTCGCTGCTTTTATGTCAGACTGAAAGTTGAATTCAAACAGAAAAGTAACAACACATTTACTGTTCTCTGTGACCATCTGAGCTTCTACACAGAGTCGGACAAATGTGGATTTTTCAACAACAATCAACAAATCATTTAGTTCTACTGAAATGTCTTCACAGAGAGAGGAAGAGGAGTCCGTTTCTGTGGAGGAGCAGCCGTCCTGCTGTGCTTTGTGTCAGGACATCCTGAAGGATCCAGTCTCTACCAGTTGTGGACACTGGTTCTGCAGACAGTGCATCACCTCATACGGGACCAGTCTGTTTCACCAGGAGTCCTCCTGTCCCTTTGTGGAGAAAGATCCAGAACCAGAGCTGGACTGCAGACAGCCGGTCAGATCAACACTGTACAAAGTAAGACAGCACATCTTAAAAATGTAACCTCTAATTTCATTACATTACGTTTGTTAAAAGGCTAATGATAAGTATATTCAACCATGTGGATCTCTTCAAGGCTTCTTCAAATAGCTGAACAGCTTTAAATGGTACATTTAGTTTTGAGTTTTCAGTTTCCAAAGTTTGGAGTGTACAGTTTCTGCTGTTTCGGTCCACCATTGTGAATTTAGGACAGCAAAGTTAGGTGGCTGTGGCTCAGGAGATCAGGAGATAGAGCGGGTTTCCTGCAAATTGGAAGATCGGTGCTGAAATCCTGGTTCCTACAGTCTGCATGAAGACTCAAATCATTTACAAACTTCAGGATTTTGCTGATCTGTAACGAACAGTCCCATAGTCATAACAGAGCTTTGTTAATTTGCTGCTGATGTGAACTGAATATTTTATGATTGTGAATTAGGGCCATTGTAGATAGAAAAAATAAATAAATTACAGAGGGTTAGTGCGGTAATATAGAGAAGGCTCAGAACTTTATAGAACATAAAGATATAATTATTAATGCAAATTATGAGAAAATCACTGCTGAGGCTCAGCCTGTCAAACACATACACAAAGTCAGAGGCTAAGAGAAAAAGCAGCATTTCTGATGTTCCCCCAAAACTTGATTTAGAACCTTACTACATTTTATCATAATAAACGCTTTTTATTGGTAAGTAAAATAATCAGGAAATTGTCACATTTTCTTTATTTTGTCTAAAACCTTTGTGTGTTCTTTTAGTGAGTGGTGGTCTGCAGGAAGTTTTAGATGAACATAAGATCATCTGAGGACGAGATGTGAATTTGTGACTGAAGGAAGTGATGAAACAGGAAGGGAACCCTCCTCAACAGGATCTACACTGAGCTCTACATCACAGAGGACAGAGTGAAGAGGTTAATACCCAACATGAGGTGAGGCAGCTTGAGACAGCTTCCAAGAAGAAAACCCTCCATGACACTCCAATCAAGTGCCACGACATCTTTAAAGCCTTACTGGCCAACAGAACAAATCAGAGTGGTTCTGACCAACGGCGTCGCTGGTGTTGGAAAAAACCTTCTCAGTGCAGAAGTTCACTCTGGACTGGGCAGAGGGCTTGGAAAACCAAGATGTCAGTCTGCTGTTTGCTCTCATTCAGGGAGCTGAACTTGATCAAAGATGAGCAGTACAGTCTTCTCACGCTGCTCCATGTTTTCCATCCAACATTACAGAAGGTCCCAGCAGAGAGAAGCTCGCTGTCTGTAAACTGTTGTTCATCTTTGACGGCCTGGATGAAAGCAGACTTTCATTGGATTTCATAACAATGAGGTTGTGTCTGATGTCACACAGAAGTCATCAGTCAACCTGCTGCTGACAAACCTCATCAAGGGGAATCTGCTTCCCTCGGCTTCGTCTGGATAACTTCCCGACCTGCAGCAGCCAATCAGATCCCTCCTTCATCTGTTGACAGGGTAACAGAAGTACGAGGCTTCACTGACGCCCAGAAGGAGGAGTACTTCAGGAGGAGAGTCAGTGATGAAGAGCTGTCCAGCAGAATCATTCACACATCAAGACTCCAGGAGCCTCCACATCATGTGTCTAATCCCAGTCTTCGGCTGGATCACTGCTACAGTTCTGGAGCACATGTTGACTACAGAGCAGAGAGGAGAGCTGCCCAAGACCCTGACTGACCTGTACTCACACTTCCTGCTGGTTCAGACAAAGAGGAAGAAGCAGAAGTACGATGAGGGACATGAGACCAGTCCACAGGAGCTGATGGAGGCTGACGGGAAGGTTCTTCTTAAGCTGGGGAAGTTGGCGTTTGAACAGCTGGAGAAAGGAAACATCATGTTCTACCAAGAAGACCTGGAGCAGTGTGGTCTTGATGTCACAGGTCTCAGTGTACTCAGGAGTTTGTACAGAGATCTTCAAAAGAGAGAGTGTGATCTTCCACAAATCAGTCTACTGCTTTGTTCATCTGAGCGTTCAGGAGTTCTGGCTGCAGTCTGCATGTTCCATACACCAACAGGAATACGGAGGTGCTGGAGGCTTTCCTGGGAAAAAAACATTCTGATTTAACACTGGATGTCTTTCTTATGGAAGCAGTAGAGAAATCCTTTGAAAGTAAAAATGGCCATCTTGACCTGTTTGTTCGCTTCCTTCATGGTCTCTCTTGGAGTCCAACCAGAGACTCTTAGGAGCCCTGCTGGGTCAGAACGACAATAGTCCAGAAATTATCAATAGAGCCATCAATAACCTGAAGGAGATGGACAGTGATGAGATATCCTGACAGAAGCATCAACATCTTCCACTGTCTGATGGAGATAAACGACCACTCAGTCATCAGGAGATCCAAGAGTTCCTGAAGTCAGAGAACAGATCAGAGAAGGAACTCCCTGTGATCCACTGCTCAGCTCTGGCCTACATACTGCAGATGTCAGAGGAGGTTCTAGATGAGTTGGACCTGATAAAGTACAACACATCAGAGGAGGGACGACTGAAACTGATTCCAGCTGTGAGGAACTGCAGAAAGGCTCAGTAAGTCCAGATGAGTTTAACATTATAAAGCTGAAGCCATCAGTTTAGCCCACCATTCAATTGCAATTTTGTTATAAGATTGCGTACCTCTTTACATTTGATAATACCTTTGCATGGGAGGTGAATTGGTGAGGGTGTACACAAAAAAATGCTACATCCCCTAACCCTGACCCTCCCTTAGTGGCACTGCTTTGACACCTGGATGTCTAATACTGTTTGTTTCTGTAATGTGTCTGTTCATTGTTCTTTTTATATACAGATACACAGACACGTTATATCCTTTTCTGAGCTATTTCATATGAAGGACTGTCCATTTTCTAAATTTATACATTATCTATTATTATTGCTTGATTTGAGAGGATGTGAGCGTAGGCCATCCTCCTCTTGAAAAGCGAATGGAACATCATCTCATACTTTACATAAAAGGTGCAATTTTAAATATTTCAGTTCCAACAATGAATGTCTTTTCATATGTTTGCTACTTTAGAAATTAGTTTGATGACCAGGTAAGTTTTCGCATATGAGGAGTTTGCCTTGGTATTTCGGTGCTTTAGAACAGAAATATTAAATATAGATAAAGTAAAGAGATCAAAAAAGTATAAAAAATAATACTATAATCCAATGGAAAGAAAAAAATAATGCAAAAAATATACAGGATATTACAGGATATTATCAAGCAATGGGCAAAAATTCACAGTATGCATAAAAGAATTAGTGCAATGGACACAGATTAAGTTGAGCATTCTGGTAGTGTGGGGTCAGGTGTGTGTTATCCTCGCCATTATTCCCTACTGGGTACCCCGTTCCTGGCCTGAATACCTCCAGTGCTTGACTAGAGGTGTAAACACTAAAAACTCCCCAGGTACTCTGAGCTCCCAGTCCGGGCAGAGTCAGCTATGACCACTAGTGCACGGCTAACTGAGCTAATTGGATAACGGCAGCTAGTTAGCAGCACTTAGCAGTTACTTCAGCAACAAGTAAAGCTATCTGTTCATCAGCTAACCCTGCAAATCACAGACAGTTAAGGCAGCTGGACTGAGGTAAATGCTTACGAGTGCAGTAATTTTACAGCTCATTAAACGACGTGTTGAAATAAGTTAATGAAAAATTGCTTAATCATTCGGCAGACACTCTGTCTAAATAGTGTTTTGTGGTCTGCTGTGTGGCTCAAAAACTCTTTGACAAGTGGAGCTCATGTTTCAAACTACAAACCTTCAATGACTGACCAGCTGAACTATAGCCACTCATGTTAATGTGCTTGTTATCATGTCTATTTTTAGTAAGTTTTATATTCTGTCTATAACAGACTTCCTACTGTGGACTCTCAGAGACTCACTCTGAAGTCGTGGCCTCAGCTCTGAAGTCCAACCCTCCTATCTGAGAGAGCTGGACCTGAGTGGAAACAAGCTGCAGGATTCAGAAGTGAAGCTGCTATCTGCTGGACTGGAGAGTCCACAGTAGACTGGAGACTCTAAGGTCAGTAAATGTATTTTGCTTGTATGAAGTTAATTTGTCTGATCTAAACTGAACTTTTACTTAATAATAATAATAACAATGCATTTATTTCTATAGTGCTTTTCAGGACACTCAAAGACACTTTAGAAAGGGGCCTGGTTATAGAGGGCTTTGTGGGTGAGGAGGAGGATTTTGTACTTAATACTTGTGGAACTGGGAGCCACTGAAGATTCTGGAAGACCTGGGTGATGTGGTCCCAGGCATGGGTGAGGAGGTGGAGGGGGCAGAAGAGTTTAGGATGAACTGAAATATATTTGGGCTTTGGCAGATGAAAGATACGGGATGCTATTTCAATAGTCGATTCTAGATGTAAGGAAGGCTTGGATAAAGGTTTCATCCTGGTTTGTATATCGGTGAGGCAATTGGCCAGAGTCGAAGAGGTAACTCTGATGAGGATTTGGTGGAAAGACCTCCCCTGTTAAGTAGTGGATTCTTAAACTGGGTGTAAATGGCTTCCTTGACCCCTTTCAAACCATCCATCCTCTCTGTCTAAAATGTGCACCTGGTGGTCCTCAAGTGAGTGGCGTTTATCCTTCAGATTTAGGTAATCTGGTGAGTCTTGAGCTGAGGAGTTTGCCCTTCTGTGTTGAGCCATGCGTATGTGTATTGGTTGTTTAGTTTCCCCGTGGTCCCTCATTTCATTAACAACCAGTTATCAGACTGAAAACTGAAAAACAATTATCAGGATGTATAGTATGTGTACAGGACAGAGCTGTACACCAGTTTAGTCTACGCTTGGGCT